ACAAAATCAATTGTCTCTTAATAACAGACATATTTTGTTATTAATTTCTATGCCTAACCGACTCTACCATTCAAGCTATGGGTCCATTATTCTGTGAAAATCAATACCCATTCAGCGCTATATTATATTCTATATATTCTGTACAGAATTCAAGTGCACATTATATAGAAATTTTTGTATTGTATTTGAAGTAAAGAGTTGCATATATTTGGAGTCAATGTATTTGATTGATTGATAAAGAAATATATGTAATAAACAGAGCGAATGGAGCATTCATTTCAGAGTCAATAGAGTTATCGCATTATATAATATTATAAGTTATATGCAATTTTTGGGTCCCCATTTGTACCCGATATTCAAATACATTAGTCACCAGAATTTATCTTAATTCTCTCTCTCTCTCTCTCTCTCTCCCTCTCTCTCTCTCTCTCCTCAAGTATTTAATGCATTCATTCATCACGTAATCATTGATGAAAACATAAGAGGCTTTTGACCCAAAACTTTATGTGTATATAAATTGGATAAACTTATAATAAATGCATATTTCGATTGAAATAAAATATTTTAATTTTCTTTTATGAATGACTAATGAGTGGTTGTATTGGAGTATTGGGTAACAAAAGGCAATGAATTATAAGAGTATTATGAGCTTATGATAAATCAAAATCTAGGGATCATATAAATTGCGCAGGGTTTGTGTATAATTACGGTTTTATATAATCTTTTATGGGAGAAATAAATATATTTTATTTCAAACCTGGATGAATCAAATTTCACATTTTGAGATATTTATACTAGTATCAAAATATTTTAATATTTCTATAAAAAATCAAAATATTTCCAGAATTAATAATTTTTATATGATATTAATAATAATTTATTTTAATAAAAATCATATCATTATTGGTATATATTTGTTATGTCAATGACGTCAAAGGTTTTGTAACCTTTTTACACTATATTTTAATTTAAACTATATGTTTGATTTAAATATCAGTAACCCTTTTGGAGATTTGAACAATATAAAAGTATTATTTGTACAGGATTATATATTCTGTCGAAATAAATCGTTTTAAGCAAATATAAATTGAAATCTCCAAATGTTTTATTTAAACATTTACTCACAAAAACTTTTCATATTTATTACTAATAAATTATTAGTATTTCTAATTTTATATTTAAACTTATATTTAATGAAATATGTCAAATAAATCTTATTATACTTTTTTGTATAAAAAACAATAAATATATTAGATATATTTTATTATTAATATCATAATGGCACCTACATACAAATAGTGTTTTAAAAGCAAAATGCAATAAACTAAGAATATCCACCTCAGTTATTAAATAATTATATTTGTCTGTGAGTTTTGAAAATGTAATTATAAATGTTTTAATATGCCTGGCTAAGATGCTAACGTCTGATATAAACCTATAAAATTGTGTTATTAATAAAATACTTTTGATATAAAAGTTTTAGTATACTGTATACAATTTTTTGTCCTAGGATCACAGTTAATAATATAAAAAAAATATATTATTGTTGAATGCTTTTATTTCCTAAGTGCATTATATCCTGATTATTTTTATTATGTATTATTAAATGAACAACATTTGAGTTTAGTACTAATAAAAGCACAATTGATCTGACATCATATAATGAAAAACAAAATTAAACTAGTACATTATGTCCTAAAAGCATTTACATTATTATCCCTATACGAGAATATTCCGTGTCTTATAGGACTCGACATAAATTCTGTCGGAATTTCGCAATTCTTTCCGTTCAGACAAATGAAATTCCTGTGAAATATAAATGAAGTCGAGTTTACGTCAAAAAGAGGCAATTTATTAAAAGCAAAACAATTCATGCTATTTATTTGCACCTTATTAGATTATAATTAGTTTAATTAAATATTACAGCGAGTGTTGTTTTAATATATTTGACAATTAATTAGAAATGATTACATGAATAATCAATATAATATCATTGCAGACAATTTATTTATAATTATATTAAAATTTTTGTTTTTCCTATTATTTCGCAGGTTTTACGGCATATACTATCCGTTCAACAATGGTTTCAGTGTATGCGTGCGACGGACCACAATATTTTTCATATGGTTTATCAGCTTTATAGTAGCCCTACCCTGGATTGTATATTTCGATTTGGTGCCCATTTGGGAGGACGTGGATGACATCAAAGTATGAACAAACTTTTAATTAAATTTATGTTTTGAGTATAATCTCGAAAACAGGATATATATACAAATGTAATAACAAATCATTTGTTTGCAATACGTGTTGTCGGTATTGAAGTAGACTTTTCTTGAATAAACATTTGTTTCTAAGTATTATTGAAAAATCTTATGTCAATACAACAAAACATCAACTCATATTCAGTACAACTTAATAGTGTTTTATGTTTTCTAGTTTAATATCACACGACTTATGTTGTTATCAATTGAGTTCAAAGTTGTTTTTTGAATGTCACTGGTGGTCGAGTACTTGTGTACTTATATTCAATTGTAAAGTACAATAACAAATTAAAAACTAATTTACATTCAATTTTAAAAATAAGAAAAATAAATTTAATTACACAATACATAATCTTAAGAGTAATCACCATCATTAGCAAACTAAAACTTAATTTTCTAAAATATACTAGTTCAAATTAAATCATTTAATCCTGGCAATACTTATAAAAACTTAAAAATATGTGTTAATTATTTAAAGATTACTCAAATATTAAATAACTATTAATTACCTATCATTTCATGCAAATAGGTTTGTGTGGAGGTGTGGCCCAACGAGAAGGCCTCCCAGACCTACTTCCTAGCCGTGAATCTGGGCCTCCAATACCTGTTACCGCTGTCTATAATCGTCTTCTTCTACATACTTCTGTTCATTAAGATCTGGAGGAGAAAAATGCCTAAAATCGTCAGACAATCCAGTGATGACACACTCAACGACTGGAACACTAGGATTGTCGAGAAATCCAAGATCAAGGTCCTCAAGATGTTGATCGCCATTGTCTCGCTGTTTGCACTCTCGTGGCTACCCCTGTACGCCATATTTGCCCGGGTCAAGTTTGGGCCACCGTTTGATGAAAGTAGTTTTGAGGGTATGTGTAATATACATGTATAATAAATATATATAATTAATTATTCGCATAATTATTAGCTATGTATTTTATAGGAGTTTTATTTATTACAGCAATTAAATTAATTTGAATGTTTATATTTTTAGTTGAAAACATTGTTTATGTGTTAAATAATGACACAATTTACGGCTTTAGACATATATATCACACATTTAATGGCTTTATATTATTTTTATTGTCGAAAACATTTACTTTCAATAATAGTGTCTGTATTTTATTGTCTATTCTCTATACAGTCGGCGACAATACTAGTAGTTTAGCGTATGATTAATATTTTAAATTTAAAAATTATGCCATATTAGATACTATACATTTTTAGCCGTATTTTTTACCCCATGAGAAATATAACGATTGGGAATCAATCTTGTTTTATAATTTCTAAGTCTTTGTACAGAAGTTTTTTATTCAACCTTTTTTCTGACATACTATCAATTCATTCGGGTTAACGACTTATATATCAAAAAAATTGCAGTTATTTGTATTGCAAACGTCTGAAAGTAATATACATTTTGCTCGACACAAAAGGGCTGAGAGATTCAGACGTTTTCATACAGTAATTGAAAAGATTTTCTCTCTCAATAGAAATGAAATGCTTCCCAAAATAGTCACATATTTTTTTAATATCCATTTTTGACATATGAATTATAGTTCATAATTAAAGCATCTATTAGAGTTTAGGAATATTTTGTTTTTCAAACTGTAATAATGTTTAGAAAATTATTTAAAATGTATAGTTTTTGTTTTTATAACCTAGTATATTTTGTAAATGCAGTATATTATTTATAGCTTAAACAGGATTTACGGATACTGTTTACATGTCGAATATATTTATAGTGTATACCCAACAGAATATTCTGTTTTAATTACTCGTTTTTACTATCACTAGCTATTTATTCTACCGTAGAATTTAGCACAGAATTTAATTCACTTTATTTTTAAGACCCAATTTTTGTGGTAAACAAACGGTTTGGTTATTATTATTATAATCATATTAAACATATACCAAGTTAATGTCATTCCCTATCAATATTTAGCTACCCTTCCGGTTCACGCTCTTATCATTAACTCTTAATTAAAAATATGTTTTCATATTATTTTGTGTGTGTTTTCTCTCAGTATATCTCATGGAGTGGTGAACTCAACATATAATTTATTAATCAATTTATTTCCGATTGCATTGTAAAACACAATAACGCTTTGAAAATATACAGAATTTTTATTAAGAACTTTATTTATTTAACGAAATGTATTTATAAACGTAAAAGTGTAGGAGCTTTTAGTGTAGGTGGCATGTCCGACCAGGTAGACTCTAATTCAATATTATTGAATGAATAGCTGTTTTCAATAAACTTTTTCCGTGAGTGCGAGTATTATTAGAAAGTTTTTTGGTATAAAAGACTTCAAAACCAGATTTTTTCAATAGATTGTGTTTACGGATAAAGTATTGAAATCCTTTATTATATTTATAAAAATGTATTTTATACCTGAAATATATACTACAAAATTTTACTCACTACCTATTGCATAATAGGCTATCTAATGTAATATCGCATTATAAATCAATTTATATGATCTGATATATTTTAATAAAAAACATTTCCAAGAATATTCTCTTATAATATATTAATATGACATTAATATTAAACATTAAACAAAATATTTGCTGATATATTGCGAAATATAATCCAAACAATACATAAAATTCAAAAAAATGAAAAATAATTGTTTAAGTTTAAGATTACAGTAAAGCGCATATCTATATCACAAAAACAAATAACTGACACCCACACAAAATATACCCCAATATTAAACCAAAACTAATGAAAAACATGTTTTGATTGACAGGTGAGTTTCTGATCAAGATCACACCACTGGCCCAATGGTTGGGTGCGTCCAACTCGTGCGTGAATCCGATTCTGTACTTCTTTTTTAACGCCAAATTCAGGGCTTACTTCAAGAAAGCCATCCGAAAGAATATATTCTGTTTCAACGATTCCGTGAAGTCTAAGAAAGTCAAGTGTAGTAACGAAACGCAGGTCTAATAAGTTTGATATACGCACAGAATATTCTTGCCATATATTCTGTGCCCCATTAACTTTGCCAAATTCATTAAAATTAATTGTGCATGTGTGTGTATAAATATACATGAAAATTATTGTACAGGAATTTAATGAATTGATATTCTTGTGAGAATTTTGAAATAATTTTTAAATGTTTTAAAACGTTAAAATTATAATGATCGGGTTTATAGTAAGGAATTATTGTGAAATGTTTGTATTATTAAAAAAAACTTATATTAAAACATAAAATATACTACATTTGTTGCAAACAATTGTATTTTTAGTAACATTATGACAATGATAAATGGGCTATGTCAATATTTTTATATAAATTATATTGACTAAATATACTTTTTATTTGCGTGATTATTGTATTTAATTAGTTAGTTTATTTGTTATAATTTATTATTGTTAAATTTTATTTATTTATTGTAGTGTATGATATTTGTATAATAACAATTGAATTGTATTATATTATTGATATAAGTTTAATTTGTTCCTACTTAATTAAGCAAACAATTATACATTAAACTGTATTTGTGTTTTAAATAACAATCAATTTATATTTACATTTTGAAATAAGTATATTTATTTGTCTATGATTTGTATTATAAGCTATATTTTGACAATTTATGTTGTATTCAATTGTAAAATATTTAAAAACATTTTTATATTAAACTAATAAAACAATTTAAAAATTAATACTATTGTTGATGATTTAAGGTATATTTCAATTGATTTTATTATATACACAAAGGTTTATAAGAATATCTATGGTACATAAAAACACTACAGAATATTCCATATATATAAATTCTTATCAAATAAAATAGTAACAAATTAACATATTATGGATTTTGTAGAAAGATTTAATACTATTTAAATGAAATCCATTAAAAAATGTTAATATTTGTGAGAAAACCTATATTGATTGCAATTTATTTAGCATACACGTTAGTAAAAACAGCAATAATTTTTAAATTAAAATAAAAATAAAAATACCTCACATCGTAAGTATAATGAACAGTACTTTTTAAAAATACTTTTCAATTTATTTTCCCCATAATATATGTCGTAACGGTATTACCTTTTTATTGTTAGTTCATACTTTACTGTATTTCTAAAACCAAGGTTTAACCTAATCAAAGGCAGGGGATTTATGTAATAAGTATGTATTATATAATATTAAATAGGTCTAAGTTATGTACAAGTGGCTATACACGTGTCAATTGTTGCATGGAGATTTACAGCTACTTATATAATGAAAAGTTTTGTTTACTAGTTGATTAGTTTATATAAGATTCCATGCTAAATTATACATTACTTTATGTTTCATTCATACTGTTAGAAAAGAATCATTATTTTTCAAATATTTACATTTTCACACACAAATCCGGGATTTTATAAATGTATGTTATTTTATTTGTATACACAGTAATTTACCAGTTTAAAGATACACATTTTTAAAATAAAAAATCTTAAATCGTTTGTACAGAAATTAGTTTTATTTGCAGTAAACGAAATTTGAAAATAAATGATACAATAAATAGAAAAAATATTCTAAAGATAAATATTTTGAGTTTTTTAATACTAAGAAAAATATTTATATAATATTCACTAAATACATGGTAAGTAAGAAAATTGTTAAATTCATGTAACTGTCAAATTAGATTTTCATTTTATGTTTAAAACTTACATAAAAATTAAGCACAAATTAATAAATATAAAAAATAATAACACAATTATGTCTTTTTATATACGTCTATCAAAATGTATTAACAAATGCGTTGACAATACTATTGCTATTATAATGGAAAGTCTGAATCCAAAGGAAATGAAGAAATACTAATCGAAAACATATTTACCAGAAATATAATGACATTTATATAATGATCATATTTGTCACCCTTTGCTATATTAACCCAATCTCTCTCTCTCTCTCTCTCTCTCTCTCTCTCTCTCACACACACACACATCACTTATAATTGATTACATTTCTAATTCATAACAACACCGTATACTCTTAGACACAAACAACCCTTTGNCTCTCTCTCTCTCTCTCTCTCTCACACACACACACATCACTTATAATTGATTACATTTCTAATTCATAACAACACCGTATACTCTTAGACACAAACAACCCTTTGATTTGTGTCACAGAATCTAATGTCTAAAACAAACTGTACATAAATATTTACGAAAATGTATTACTTATCGATTGTAATGCGGCTATATTTATGGTGATTGGTTATACAAATATTCTAACTGTTTGTTTTGACTATATTTTTACACATCAAATTCTACGTCAACAATCCTTTTGTAAAACAATTTAACTTATATTCCTATTATTATAAATTTATAAATAAGTTTGTAATGCATTTTAAATCCAAATAATATAGGATGTCCCAGCGTATTAGCAGGATTTTAAATTGAAATAAAAAATATTTACAATTATATTATTTAATGAAAAACTACACCGAAATGTTGGAAATTTATTAATATTTTGTGTACGATTCATAAAATATTAATTAATTATCTAGCATGGCCATAATTTTAGTTTTACTGTATATCATATTTAAATTAAATATTGAGATATACTTTTATATGTTACTATTTGCAAACTTATAATTGAAAAATCATCAAAAACTTTATTTATTAACTTAATTTTCAGGCATAAATTTATTTAGGCTAAAATAATTTTGTTTTGATTTAAAAATTTTGTAAAATATCTGCTCATCTCAAGTGAATTGATAGTCAGTAGAGAATTATTCACAATATTTTGCATTTTATATTCATTTCATTATTAGTTTTATTTGTTTATCTCATGATTTAATGATAAATATTTAATTGAAAAATCATAATTTATATAATTTTTAATTCAATTGATTAGGGAGTTTGGGATTATTTATTTTGATACTCACCATGGTTAGGTAAATACAATATATTGGAAAATTTATGTTCAAAACTTGGAAATATAAAAGTTGCCTTTTCAATTCACTGATTTCGTAATTTATATGCATAGAAATTTTATTAAAATTATTATGTCATTAAGTTTAATCCTTATTAACAGTTAAAATAATGAGATTACATAAAAACTATAATATATTTTATTTTTATAATAAGTAAAATATCTGATAGTGCATTATTAAAATTTTATAAGATATAGTATGATACTTTTATAGGAAAATATAATTTAATATCTATTTTTAATTACTTGCTTAAACCGGTGAAATATTATATTTCTAAAATGCGCTTATTATAAATTTCGATAATAATAAAATCTGAAATTTCTTATGCATTAAGTTTTTATTATATAGATATAGTGTCAGGCTACTATGTTTCGCAATGTTCCTGTTGAGATTTATTAATAATTCAATTCAGTATAAAAGGTCTAAAGGTTTTGCACAATAACAAAAATAAGACATACATCTCAAAAACAGATATATCATATGAACCGGATGTTTTAGTGATAAATACAATCATTGAAAAAGCAATTTCTAAATCACAAACATCTGAGAGACAAAAACAATGCTAATAGCGTATGTAGAAAATTGACACTATCTAATTAAGCTTTATTAAAATAATATTCCTTCTAATAAATCACCTTTAATATTTACATGTATATTATATTTTACTCAAGTAAATTAATTTAATGAAATTCTATAGCATTATTCTATATATTCTACCCAGTACATATAGAACTCTTAGTAACCAATATTATATAATATTTGTTAAATTTTAATTAAACATAACCATTGATCAACTATCATTAAATAGATAGTTTTATTTAACTATTGAAAATAAATTGTATCTTGTATGAATAGTATTGTTTAATTTAAAGCAAATATAATAAATTGTTATTATTAAAATAACTGGTAAACACAACAAAAATAGCATATCAATTCAATGAATGCACATAATTTAATAATATTTGATAGATTCTCAATACACTTAATATTAAAATCAATAAATAAATAAAATATCATTCATTTATTGTGTTGAATGAAAATATTTCGGTATATTTGCCATCAATACTACTTCAACACAAAGCTTTAGATGTAGTTCTCGATGTATGGCTAATTCAATAGGCATCCCATATCTCCCCCGCATTTTGTATTTAGCTATATATTGCATAATATATGGCCTTTAGGTCCACTTACTCTCAAAAATTGAAATTTATGTTAAATTTTAAATTTTATTTCTATATCTAATGTTAAGGCAAAATAGTGTATTCACCTTTGAATAATTTATATCAATAATATCAATATTAAATACATGAAAATGTTTGGCAAATATAGTTTTTATTCTTTATTTTAAATGTTAGTTGGCGATTTAATTTATTAATACTGTAGCCCGATGCTTTTAATGTATAGAAGGTTAAAGTTTTATAAAAAATAAAGTACTTTTTTGTTTTATAAATTCGTTATAATTATATAAATACAGTATGCAAAATATTAAAATCTACTATGGTAAATTACATCAGGTAACTAGGTAATTTTTAAAAGTTTTTTAAAATTCTTAAATTTATAGTTGATTAGTACTTTATTAAATATGTCAAATTAGTTATATACCGTGAAATTATTTTACTTAAATTATATTTTATTAATTAGTAAACCTGTATATCTTGTTATCCCAATATTAAAATTTCTGTTTCATTAATTAATACTATAATATCAAAAAATTAAAGTAACAGTTTTTACTATATATAAATAATTAAATTATATGCTAAGAAATTTCATTTTCATAATTATTTTCTACAATTTAATCATCGGATTAATTCATGCTTTATAATATAACTTACAATTTAATTAAATACAAATCTAGTACTATATAAATAATCATAAAATATAAATACTCTTCAGAAAATCTTATATCATAATTGATTTTTTGAAAAAATGTCTTTAATTTAAAATAATATTTATACATCAAAAATGTCAATTGCATGACTGAATAAGTATAATCAGAGATTAATATCTGTAAAATTATCATTATTTATAACAAATGTCTACAAAATTAAATGAATCTGA